TGAAGTGTCTACAACCAAACGTTGCGAACCGTATTTTGATATTCTAAGAAAATTATTATGATTTTGCTCTAAAAAGCTTGGTTCCTGCTGGGCTACAACTCTGGTTGATTTTCAGAAATTACATACATTTTTGAATAACGGTCACTGTGTAACCACACAAGTTATTCGTGTTCTGATTTTACCGCGTGGGTTTTGTTGTTTTTTTCAGAATTTTAACTTTAAATTTTCTCCACATAAAGGCTAACTAAACGTAAACTGGTACGCACAAAAAGACCTGTAATTTGTGATTCGATAAGTTTAAAAAGTCCATTAATGGTTGTTTTACAGTACTTTTATTAAATCTTCAAAGTTACAGCATTGGATGGTTACATTTCTCCAGTTCGAACGAAATCTCGAACCTTCCTCTTGATGGAGCCCATCAGCGCCCGTACAATGGAAACGGACATGGAATCAGTGAATTTCTTCCATTTTGCCCGGATTTGCTTGATGTCCTTGAAATTCCGGGCAATTGGGGACAAAATCGATCTTGTTGGCAACATACCACTCTAGAAACACCTTGGACTAGTGGCAGCTGGCCAAATCGGGCCAAAAGATGCCTTTTCCCCTATGCTTGCTGGTGAACGGCAATTCACGCTATTCCAGGCATTCTTCGATGTAAACTTGGGATGTCATCGTCGAGGATGTGACGAATGGCCAAAACTGCAAATTGCTTGCCAAATCATGGCCTTATTCGCGAACTTGTCGGCAAACACGATCTTGAATCTTCCAGGCACACCCTAAAGTCCAGTCGCGATGTAAAACTTTTGACCGGGAAGCTGCTTAAAATCGAGTTTGACATATGTTTCGTCAGCGATCACACTTTCGTACAAGAGCCTCGCACGCTTTTTGGCCACTGATGTGTACTGGCTTTTTCGAATTGTATCCTTCCTTGGCAAGGACGTTCCGCACCGTGCTGGTTACTTCTGTTAAGTTCCTACAATTTTCGTAAAGTTAATTGGACTGCTCTGAAGTCCTACAAACTTTCCCGATGATTTTGGAACCTCGCATAAATTTTCACAATTCTTGAAACTGCCCTTAAATTAATGGAATTGTTATAAAGACCTCTGAAGTTCTCTGGACTTTCGTGAATTTCTCGGAACTTCTGAAATGTTTCCGAGATTTTAACTTCTGAGATGTTTCCGAAATTTTTCTGAAGTTCTCTAAACTTCCTTGCACTTCTTTAGACTTCATTGAAATTTTCGAAACTTGGTGAAGGTTTCCAGTGGAATGGTTCTAGACTTTACTAAATTCTGCCTTGAAGTTCGTGGAGCTGCTCCAAATTTACAAAACTTCCCTTAAGATCGCTGAGCTTTCTAGATTATTTCTGGATCTCCTCTTAATTTCTAGGAACTTCTATTAGGTTCCTGCAATTTTCCTGAAACTGCCCCTTACTGCTCACAGGATGGCTGGAAGCTTCTTAAAATCTCATTTGTCTGAATTCTATTGAAATTATCATCACGATTCCCTTATGGATTCTCTTCAGCAGACCCACTGAATTCTTCTCAGATTTCCTTGCAAATGCTCCCAGCAATTTCTTGAATTTGTCATCAACGTTTCTTAAAACTCATCTTAGGTTTTTTCTCTGATTTTACTTCAAAATACTATTGGCTTTCTCCACACAATTTCCATGCAATTGTCATCAGAGTTATGATGGAACTTTACTCAGAATTATCGTGGAATTTTCTTTTGAATTCAAAAGAAATTCGCCTCACACTTCCCTTTAAACTTTTTTTTTTCTGAAATTCTAAGGCAGTTCAGAAGTCTAAAGGTATTCTGAATTCCATGGTGCTTCAACAAATGCTAGGAATAATCAAATGCCTTTTAAATTCTCCATAAAAAATCTTATGAATTATCCTCGAAAATGATAAGAACACAGGATAAGTGTGCCAGTTATGATACTAGTGCTCAATTTTTGACCCTAAGGCCTAACTCAGATTTGAAATAAATGTTGATGGTTTTGTTTGCGTAGATAAAGGTTGAACACGAAAAAAAACCGGACACGGAAATCTTGTTGGGGTTTAAAATACGATTTATTTATCATAGTTCAATGTAACAGCTATATATTAGTAGGTATTATGCTTATTATAAGACCATTGTTTCAGTCTTCCTTCTTACCATAGGCCATTGCTCGAACTTTTCTTCATACACGGCCCATCATCTTCTGCACGAGCCCTGTTCCCACTTGTTTGGCTCCCAAATTCCATTTCCGCTTGAAATCCTTCAGGTCAATTGCAGTTTCACCCTTTTTGTTAAGTATGTGCTTCACACACAGTTCCAGAGTATTGACCGGATTCATCTCCTTGGGAACCACTGTGACGCCATTTTCGCTGTACCACTACTTGTGGTGGAATTTCAGTAGTTTCAGCTTGTCAAGTCCAGCCAGAATAAACAATCCACCTCATGCTGCTCCAGAAAAGGCAGTAGTCTCTTCCGCAGGCACTCCTCCTGCTAAATTTACTGGTTCATGGTCCCAGAAGTAAGGAAAATTTCGCTTTTCAACCCACAACTGCAGATTGCTTGCCAGAAGACAAGGAACTTTTTGGGGAATTTCGATTGCTTTTTGAATTTACATTTTCCGGGACACTCTTCCAGTCAACCGAGGTATAAAATTTCAACGTGCTTGCTCCGGTGAAGCCATGGTGTAAACTGCTACTTTAAATCTCGTATTTTTATTTGCTTAAGGAAAACTATTTGGGAGTGAATAGCTCTCCAATCAGAGTTCAGGATAGGAAAAGCATGACAATTACCATTGCCGGCCACATCCATCTTCTCCATTACGGGTAAAGGAAGAATATTGTTGGTGTAACATTTACTAAACGAGAGGCCAACGACTCACCGACGCCCCCATACATGCTACGGAGTTGGATAGTTGGGTAGGAGATGGGTCAGGATTCGCTTAAGCAGGCGATGCGACCATGGTAATTGTTTTATTTTGGAGGAGCTTGGGAGTAAACCCACGATCTTGTACTCAGTAAGCAAAAGCAGCAGCTACCATGCTAGCCGAGCTCAACAATTTAAATTTTGGGACATTATTTAGTAAAATTTCCATGAATACTGGTTAAAATATTATGTAAACTAATAAAAAGCATGGGTCTCACCCAAATGATCTGCAATTAGTCGACCGCCTCGTGATTCCTAAGATTGTTCTCCCAAATGAATCACCATCTCCATAATCTTGACATTAAGAAAATCCGTCCCCACTTGCTGGCCTCGGGAAGAAGTGCATCGGGATAAACGCACCGGCATTGCTCAGTGTCACTATGTACCTCCTGATGTTGGCCCACTTGACCCATGATTACCTTCAATTCCTCGTTTCCAATCAGCTCAAACTGCTGCCGAGAAACTGCACTTTCTATCCACTCTCAGATTCAATACTTCCAATACGAAAAACCACAATTTTGCTAGAAACTTCACATTTTTTTTTATTTTAATCACGAAAGAAAACACGGATGCAAAATTCAAACATGTCATTTCTTCAACCCAACCTACTTCGATCAGTACTGTATATTAAAATTTTCATGATAACGAAAATGTGTATCTGGCAAGACGACTGAAATTCTTTGAAAATCCAGATTCATCTGGAATACTGGCAACTTTGTTTGTAGTTCCAAGCTTACACACACAGACATCTACCCAAAAAAACGCAATGTTTTGAAACGATCGACCCACACATGCTCTGCAGACTGCGCTGCGCCGCACACGTGTGATTAAGATGTTAGAAGAAGAGCGATCCTCGCGATCAATCGCCGCCAACGAAAACGACGACGACGACGCTAAGTTATGCCATAAGCGCTTCTAATTTGTTCGAATCCAAAGTACGTTCGAGCGAGCACTTGCGGCGCATTCCCCTACCACTCATGAATGTGGATCTAGTCCAAAACCGATTCGAGTGGCGAAACTGCAAACGCATGCAACCACCACGTTTGAAAACAACGGCGGAATGACTAATCCCTTGTCCGTCCGAGAGAGCGCTGCTGGTGAGGGAGAGGGATGCTCAATTGGAGTAACTGAATTTGCATAATTTAGACAAATCGAAATCTACACTGAACGTTCGCTAACTGAAAGGGACGGTTTCAACATTTGAGAAAATCCAACTTGACTTGCAACCAAAAATCAATTAGACAGTTTTCAAAATAGGGCTACAAACAGTAGTTATTTTTACACAAATCAAAAAGTCCCTACCAGTGAGCGAACGTTTGGAGTTTCAGTTTTTTTATATAATTTTGGCGTACAGCGAGAAAATAGATCACCCCTATGAATCCTCCAAAAAGCCAAACAATGAAAGTGAAATTAATTTGCAATGGCTTTTGCTTCACCTGCTACGCCACGCTGTGCAAAACTGCATACCACGCGCCGCGGACGTATGACTCCATATCCAAGCAAGCTGCGCTTGGGCTCGGGTGCCAACGAACGAACAACGCCGTGCGTTCGTCGTCGTCGTCGTCATCGTCGGCGGCTGTAATAGGTAAAGCATATTAAACACCAATCAAACTATTACCAAAACGGCGGACAGTAGTCGCGTGGTGGTGGTGGTCACTCCGGATTGCCTTCAAACTAGTTACCCCTTGTCCGTCAAACAGGCTCAATCGATGGCGATCGCCAATGCCGTTTCGATTCTAGTACTACCTTTCTCGGCTGTATCGTTCTCTGGCTCACTGGCAGCGGTGTTGGCCTACTTGGTTCTGTCAGTTCGGTAGCAGCCGTTTGTGAAGACCCTCAAAGAATGGCCCATTCCAGCAGCGAATCCTCTTCTTCGGCCCTCACAAACGCCGGCAATCATCCCGAAGATCTAGACGACGGTCTTGGTCTATCGCAGAAATTTGTCTGGATTTCGTTGCCCTTCCAGTGGTTTGGCCGCATCGGCCGGCTCTTTATGGTAGTTCTCTAATCACGTATCGAACTTTTTCTGAACAACAATTCTAACAGGACACCCTTTTATGTTCTCCGAATCTTATTTTCAGAGCTACGGAACGATCCCCTCGAAGGAACAGCTGCAGGCGTGCGGTGGCCAGTGTCCGATCTGTCACGACAATTTCAACTCGCCGGTGCTGCTCGAGTGCAATCACATCTTCTGCGAGCTGTGCGTCGGAACCTGGTTCGATCGGGAACAGACCTGCCCACTGTGCCGGGCCAAGATCGTTGACGACCCCTCGTACCGGGACGGGGCGACCACGTTCTTCTTGCAGCTCTACTAACCGAACCGGGCAGAAGAACCTAGCGATTCAGTGCGTGCGTACGTGCGTGTGTTACAGTGAAATCGTGTATGACGGAAAGGTAGACGAAGACGGATGCTTCTACTAGTGGTAATTCACTCGTACACGTATATTAGTTTATTCTAAACAGTTTACTTCTTTTATTTTAACAGAAATTTCGAAGCACAAAATTGCTTCTCCTACAAGAGCCTACGGCTCTTGAATTAGCTCCTACGTTGCTATAGCCGCACTTCGAGCAGCCAATTGTTAGCAAATATATGTTTTATTTAGTTGAAATTTCAAATGCGCTAAATATTCCAAAAAAAACAAGTTTACAAAAACATAACAGGTTAAGATATAAACAGAGAACCGTTTTTATTGTGTTTGTTAATATTTAAAATTAATTCAAAAACTTACCAGAAACTGAAGAGATAGTGCTGCACAGGGAAAAAAAATAAAGAAAAGAGAGTTTGTACAAGCGAGGACAAGAGTGAGAGAGAATGCGAGTGCGTCAAAATTGAGAAACGATGACTGAGAATTGAAGAAAACAAACAAAATTGCTTGCTGCGCCTACTGAGTGTTGTAAGCGGTAAAAGCTGTTACTAATCAAAAACGTAGATACGCAGTAGAGTGGTGAACGAAGAGCACCGATTTGAAGAAGTGAGCGACGAACAGTTGAATGGACATTGAGGAGATACATTGCGCTCGAAAGAAATGAAAAAAAAACCACGTCAAGAAGCAGCAAACAGTAACCTATACCTAAACCATAAATATGAACAATATTTTCAAAATAAAAACAAACATTACTAGTTTCGATATTATTGTTAGCTATGATATAAAAAAAAATGTTGCGACCTGGTTACGATAATTTGGAGGAAAGAAACGTCCATCAGGTGGTGAGCGTATGATAAATAGGTTATCATTGTGATTATTTACTGGTGCGAGGCACTTGAATGTGTGACTGAGGTGTCGCCATTAGACGACGAACTTGGAAGCGGTTAATGATCGTCCACAGTTGGATTAATTAGCTTACCAATTCGGTAAACCGTTTGCAAAAACTTTCTTCTCAATGGTCTGTGAATGTGTCAATCTACTTTTAGTAAAACTTGTTGCAAATGTATGTCAGGAGAAATTTGAGCGACTTTCGATTGGCATATGTACCGAGCACATCTATGACACAAACGTCATTCCCATATACTTTGTGTGAAGCCGAAAAATCCTGGTTCTCTGGTTCGATTTTACGTCAACATTTGACAGCTGCTGCAAATATTCGCAAGCAAGCTCTGTTCATGCGTGATACGTTGTTAGGAAAGTTTGTCGCGAGCAGGGGGGAAGATTTTTTTATCTCTTTGTTGTGCCATAGGCGCTGTTTACTGTGTTTAACAAGAATTATCGTTGCCTAAAAAAGAAGTGCATTATAATTGGATGTGATAGCAGCATTACTACATTAGTAAAAACTTTTAAAGCGATATAACCATGCGGTACACATGAATGTAGCTTAAAAACGTGTTATCAACACTAACACCACCACCATCGGTGGCAGCTTCAGCGAGTACTAGTCTTGCCAGGGATGTGGTACCGAGACATGAATTCTAAAGATCTCAGCCATAAGCGAATAAAAGTTAGATGAATTTTATATTGATTCCCGAACCTCTCCCGTCGACTCCTTTATGGCGGGGTGGTGTAGGAGGTAGCACTCGAGACGCCGGTTGTCATCATGGTCCGGAACATTATGCATGTGTCCAAGAGCGATGTATTCTTGGACAAAGTCTGCTGGTACTGCGATTTGAGATCGGCTGTTTTCTCCAACATTTGCTCTAACCATCAGAAACATCGAATGGCATTCGTTTTTGAATCCCCAAGCATCTGTTCAAAGTGGAGATGTTTAGCCATTCAACCAGCTGCAGCGGCACTAGGTACTGCGATCCCGGACCAAAGAAATGACTGGTTTGACGGCGAATGCAAACTGTTAGTAGAGGAGAAGAATGCTGCAACACCGCACGAGATTGAATGTGCAGCGATACAGACAAGCGCGGAACAGACAAAACTCGGCTTTACGAAGAAAGAAGCGCCAGCAGGAAGACCGAGATCGCGAGGCGATGGAAAATCTGGACCGCATAAACGACACACGGAAGTTCTACGTTGCGCAAAGACTACGTGCCACAAACCGATATGTGAAAGGACTTGGACGGAAACCTTCTCACGAACGAGTGTGAGGTGATTTGAAAGGTTGCAGTAGTATGACGAGCACCTCAACGGTGATGCAGCAGAAAACGAAGGTGGCACGGCAACAGACCTTGGAACACGCGCAGAAGACGACAAACTACCGGCCCCTGATCTTCAAGAAGTTGAGGAGGAGATCGGTCGGCTGAAGAACAACAAAGCAACTGGTGTAGATCAACTACCAAGTGAGCTATTAAAATACGGTGGTGAAGCACTGGCTAGAGAACTGCACTGGGTAATTAACAAGATTTGGCAGGAGTGGATAAAAGGTGTCGTATGTCCAATCTACAAAAAAGGATTGCTGCAACTACCGCGCGATCACAGCGCTGAGTGTCGCCTACAAGCTACTCTCCCAAATTCTATGACGCCGCCTGTCACCATTTGCAAGAGAGTTCGTAGGGGGCGGGATTCATGGGTGCCCGCGCTACCACGGACCAAATTTTCGCGATTCGGCAAGTTTTGCAGAAATGCCGCGAATACAACGTGCTCACACATAATTTGTTTATCGATTTCAAATCCGCATACGACACTAAGGCGGAAGCGTACATCAGACTGAAAGCTTAGGCGGATTGCACTTGCCATCAACGCATCGAAGATAAAATACATCAGAGGAAGTGGTTCTAGGGAACACAATGTTAGCCTCCAACCCCGAGTTCAGATTGAGGGTGAAGACATCGAGGTGGTCGATGAGTTCGTGTATTTGGGTTCACTGGTGACCAAGCATGGGAAAATTCATTCACTCGCGCGAGCACCATAACCCTCAAAATAGGCATCCTTACCTACAAAAAGATTGCCGAAATTCTTCCAACCAAGTGACTCTGCAGGTCGACTCAGAACTGACAGCAGTAGAAGGAAAGAAGGAAACACTGAAAGGCAGCCGAACAATTTTCTCAACCGAGGGAGAACCGGATTGAATGCGTAAAATCCAAATAGCCGAATCAGATAGTTTTTGGCTCACTGATTTAAATCAGTTGAATTGGCGTCTTGCAGTGAAACTTTTCCAAGCTTTCGCCACCTACATTTCGAAGTGAGAACTACTAGAAGGAGGATAGCACAGACAAACAGACATAACACTCGCAAGTTGTTCATCGAACAAGCATTTAACGGTCAATTTAAACATATCGTAGTTGGTAGTACCGCCACATGTGGCGCGCATAGTCAATTCCCTTGCGTTTGAAGTTTACACACTACCGCCATCTGTTCAGCGTACTACCCACCACAGTGTACTCAACAGATGGCGGTAATGTTTTAGCGACGATGTTTTACAGTGAGAAATATTCAATGTGTTATGTCTGTTTGTCTGTGAGGATAGTTTTCAAATTTTCCAAGTAAAACAGACGCTTTTTGGGGCAAATCGGTCCATAAAGAAAAACTAATAATTTCCCGTGGAAACTTTTGCTTGAATCGTGTAAGAAAACGTGTTTGAAAACTATTTGTTATTATTTCGGTATGGATCGGAGATGTTTTCATGACAAATTATGCATAACAAGTTTGCACTCACAGGGAGAGTTTACCTCCTGCGCAGCTGCATTTTTTCAGAAAATGGTAAATATGTGCGATTTTCACTTAGATGAAAGTGGAAATTAAGTGAATTTACTTAGAAAAGGTTGTATCATGCTGGTGGTAATACAGAATTTATTGTATAGGACGCCAATATTCAATAAATGTTCATTTTGGCCTTTTTTATGCAAACATATTGATACTCACAATTTTCGACGGAAAACGCACCGGAACTTGATTTACTCAACACGCACCATACTATAAAATGGTGCTAGATGGTCTTCAAAGTGATAACAAGGTGACAAATCATCTTTATTTTGAGTAATTGAGCAATTTACTTCTGTTTACCATCATATTGCAGCATTGATTGAGCCGTGAAATGAAATGAATATGAAAGTTCACATGGAAAGTCAAAGATGCGCATCAGTCTGATCGTAAAAACGTTTTCTTCTTCAATTCGAATGTTATATTGGAAGGATTTCACGCAAGCTTGATGAAAATTATGATTTAATTTTATATGCAGTCTGTCAACATTATCATCATCATGCAGTGGCGACATCTGCGTTGAGCTTTTGCGGCAATCTTCCAATTGGACACGTCAGTTTTTACGGTCTCTATACCGGCCGTTAGCTATGCTTTCGAAATTGTTGGAGAAAATGATCCTTCGGAGACTTGATCCTGGGTCGAATCAAATAACTTGCTTTCAAATACACAGTTTGGGTTCCGCAAGAGCAATGGAACAAACGATTGTCTAGCGCTGCTTTCCACTGGCCTTTGCGCACAAGGAGCAATTGGCTTCAGTATTCTTGGACATTAAGGGGGCTTTTGATTCAGTTTCCCTTTGAAATTCTGTCAGACAGTCTGCACAGATGTGGACTTTCTGCAGTTTTAAATAATTGCTTGTAAAATTTGTTGTCAGAAAAGCAAATGAACTATTCCCTTGGACAACTGACAACTTCCAGAATTAGCTACATGGGCCTGCCCCAAGGCTCATGTCTCAGCCCTCTTCTTTATAACTTTTATGTCAAAGATATCGACAACTGTTTGGCAGAACAATGCACGCTAAGACAAGCTTGCAGATGACGTAAGAGGTCCACATGTCGTGGACTCGCAAGGACCACTGCAAAGTTCCTTAGATAACTTGTCTTCTTGGGCTAGGGATCTAGGGATCGAATTCTCGCCGCAGAAAACTGAACTGGTAGTGTTTACTCGAAAGCGGTACCCAGCCCAAATGCAGCTTAACCTTTTTGGCCGAAACATTACCCAATCATTGCCTTTCAAGTGCCTTGGGGTCTGGTTTGATTCAAAGTGCACTTGGAATACCCATATTACGTATTCGAAGCAAAAATGACAAATGGTGGGGTGCTCATCCGGGAGACCTCATAACGCTTTATTAAAAAACAATACGCTCTGTTCTAGAGTACGGCTCTTCCTACTTTTTCTCGGCAAGAAAGAGTCACCTAACAAAATTGGAACGAATTCAATATCGTTGTCTGCGTATTGCTCTCGGCTATATGCACTCAACGCATAACATGAGTCGAGGGTCTGGCAGGAGTAACACCTCTTCAGTTTCTGGGAGCTCTCTCTCTCTCTAGGAATACTAATCTAATGCGAAGTGACGACCATACTTACCTTACTTACCAATAAGGCTATGGCTTTGTTGTCCTCTGCTGTCCGAAGAAGTCGTCACCACTCTACTCGATCAATGGCCGCACTTTGCCAGCCTCGTAGTCTGCGAAGGGTCTTCTTATTGTTCCTGTTGGATCGCTTTCGAGCACCATTTTCACTGGGTCGTCGTGCGGCATTCTTACGACGTGCCCAGCCCCCCGTAGTCGCCCGTTTATTGCAATGTGAACGATGGATGGTTCTCCCAGCAGCTCCCATTCGTGG